CCTGTCACTACTCCCGACTACTACGAACTCGGCTTGCAATATAAATCATCAGGTGACCTTCACAATGCTATTCGTACGTTCGAAAAAGAAGTGACACAGAACCCCGATAACATCGATGCATGGCTTGCATTAGGTCGTACTCGAGCTCGTCTTGGTACATGGATGGAAGCTTTGATCGATTTACAACATGTTATACACTGTCAACCGAAACATCATGAAGCGTATTATTTCATAGGTTGTATACATAATGAATTGGGACAGTACAAGGAGGCTATTGATGAATTTACGAAGGCCATTCGGTACGATAGTGGAAAATTGAATGCAAATTATCATTATAAACGTGGTTATGCGTGTCAAATGGACGGACAGTATGAACTGGCAATTAAAAGTTATACGTCATATATTGATCGTAGTCAAGAAGCTCAGCAGCATTTGGAGGTGTTCTAAAAGGACTGCAAGAGATGGGTCGGCTGCTGTCGGACACAAAAAGGTGAATTTTGAGAAAATGAGGCAAGCTTAGGCGAGAAAACGCTCGGATTTTCGGTGATTACCGCATAGTTTAGAGAACAATGGACTGTGTAAGGCAGACTAAAAATACGAGACATTGATTATTTGTTGGCTGCGCATGTCGAGCTTATTTTTAAAGTACTGTTGGTTACCGGGTGGTGTTCTAAGTACCACATGATAACCGTTTTTCTCATTTATCGTTTTGTTTCGAAGCTGATGGAGTGCATAAGAAACTTCGAAAACAACTTGATTTCTTTTTAGTTTATCTTTTTTTCAGTTATTACACTCGTCGAAGTGTGAATTCGTCAAATTTTCTCCCAATCATCAAGCATGGGCAGCCAGTGTGTGCTTCAGCACCACACAGCACAAAAAAGAATGAAACGTAGTATTTTCGGAGTGCCGTCCTACGTATTAATACTAAAAAAGATACCATCGAATACCGCGCGGCTATTTACACATTTCGGTAGCGGTAACCTCAAGGTTTATCGAATTGATAAGCGAACAGTAACCGGTGGCATTTCTGCCGACTTTGAGTACATGGGCAGGAGCAATTACCTAAGGCTACTAAGATAGTTTACAGTGGAAAAACCTAGAAAAATTGACAAATTGGCAATTTTCTCCTCGAATTGCTGAATAAAGTCCATGGTCACTTGGATCGGATCAGAGAGCAACGTCATTTTTCTCGAATTCAGTTTGAGGCGACATTGATCTGATCCATGGCCGATTCGTACCTGTCTTAAAATGGTTCGATCCGATTTGTGGTGGATTCTGGATGACCTGAGATTTTTCACTCAAGTCCGATTCGATCGATGATTGTTTTCTACGTTAGAAACGAAAAAACTACTGTTTAAAAAAACACTAATTTTTACAAAATGCGGGAACGAGCGCTCCCGTGAACTGGCATCGACTCCATAGTGTTAATAACAAATTCGCGAAAGAATTGGGGTTAATTCATAGAGGCGTTGACCTTAAGTTTGGGGTCATCCTTAGTTCTGCGGTGCTTTCGTTGGGTAACTGTCGCTCGTGGAACAGTTAGGTCCAAAGATAGGTTATTCTTTGCCACGAAATTGAATGCTCATAACTCTTGGACTTTAGATGACGTTTTGGTTTGCTGAACCGAGGTCTTTGTTATTATATCACAAATCGGTATGATAATGCTTTGGCTGATTTTAATCGTGCTGTCGAACTGAGTGACTCGAAGAACAAATCCTACTGTTTGTGTTGTCGAGGGCGTACAAAGGTTAGTCTTGACGATCCAAACGGTGCAACAAAAGATTTCAGTTTGGCACTCGAACTTGCTCCTTCTTCGTACGAAAAAGGTTTGGCTAATAATGAACTTTTGCAGCATCGTGAAGCGATTGAGAGCTATACGCGAGCCATTAATCGTAATCAAAATGTTATTGATGCTTCTTTTCGCCGAGGACTGAGCCATGCTGTTTTGAAAGAATATCCCGAAGCTATTGTTGATTTCACGAAAGCGATTGAAGG